ATTCCTCCCACCTCCACAAACCGATTTGATACAGCTAACAATGATCAAAACTTGCACAAATGTAGAAGACAAAACATAAGTGGTACCTTTTGTTTGCCATCCTTTTGATCTTAGCTATTTATTTGGAACTAAGTCCCATCTCTTTGTGGAATTTTACCTCCAAATAAGTGTAACTAGGACTGGAATGTGTTAATGTTTTATATCACACTGCTGGTGTAAAAATGACAAATGCAAACAACAGCATGCACACAAACGGATATGTGAATGAAAGGTACATAAAAGCAGAGGTAGCACTACTGTTTTTAAAACGTCCTTTTTAAAAAAAGAAAGTCCATGTAACCTTAGGTCCCAAGATCTTTTTTTCAGAACAATGGAGTAACTTATCCCATGCATTAAAAAAACTGAGTATAATGCCCTCTTTTCAACAATAGGACACATTTTGTACCGTTACTATGGAACTGAAAATGCTTGCTTAAAGAACAAGAACAAATCAAGTATATTCCCATAAATATCTGAAAACTGAATATAGTCAATCAGGAGCTACAGTAAAAACTAGGAGACGGGGAAGGTCAAGTTGTTGACAGAAGTGAAATGAAGACCTGGATCGCTTATACCTTCAGCTGATGTGGCATGTAACTTTACAAGTGCAAAACCAAGTATAGAACTCAAGGATTAAAACCCATTCAGTAAAAACAGCACAGAAAACAAAATGCAATATAAAAATCAATTGAAATAGAAATGCAAGCATTTCAGGAAACAAGAATGCTCATAAACACTCAAGATTTTAAACTGCAACAAGACACCATGCACACTGTGAGAACATATCAATCACATTAGGAATTAAGTGCTCACCTTAACCCTCTGTAAATGTGCAGCAACACCAAAAGTAGAGAGTTTGGAAAATGGAAAGAAGTGAGTTGGCAGAATATCATATAAAACAAATATAAACATAGATGCTTGCTTTCAGAGCTCTGCTCTCCAATAACTTCCATCTTTGGACTACTGGCTACTCCGTGATTTAGCATGTTTCAAGTTGTGTACAGAAGAATTAACATGTAGAGGTTAATAAAAGCCAGGTTTTGTTTTAAGATAAAATAGTTCTAACATATCATTCAGGTCTTCCAACTTTTAACTAGGCACCTTACTTTCCTATACTCTGTAGTTCATGAGATGTACAAACTGGATTAAGAACATTAAAGATACTGTATACTTATGACAAGTGTTTCTAACTCATTCTCCTTGTAATCAAGAAGCCCAGAATGACGTATGTGCATCCTAGGCGACCTTCCTCAGAGAGTGCAGCTTGGAGAGATTCTGTCTGTTCTGTGGACTCTCAACTGTGGAGTCCCTGAGGGGTCGATCATCTCCCCAGTGCTATTTAACATCTACATGAGGCCGCTGGGGGAGGTCATCAGGGGTTGTGGAACTTCATGCCACCAATATGCGAATGACACCCATCTCTATCTCTTCCTTCCATCCTTCTGCAGTGGATGCTGTCCCATTCCTTGTGCGTTGCCTTGATGCCATGCTGGGATGGATAAGGGATAATACACTGAGGCAGAAGCGGGACAAGACAGCATGAAGTCTTGATTTTTATGAAATCGTACATATAGACTGTGCTCTTGCTATTCACGCAACTCCTGGTTTTCTGCTATTCTTTTCTGCCCACCACCATAATCTTCTTGCCCTTTTGTAACACCAAGCAAGCCACCTACCCGACATTGCAGTTCATATTCTTTAATTATTTCAGCAAAGCGCTCTTCTTGGTGAAAGAATTCTGTGTCATGTGGATCCAGCAGTCCCAACTAAAGGAAGCAAAGAAGTTTTTAAAAACACATATAAATTGAATATAGCCATTCGTGTTGAGAGAACCAAGGTATTCAAAAAAGAAAGACTATGCTTATAGTAGGAAGTATTAAAACATATTCATTTGGCTATTCAAATGTTTGGAGGGAGGAGAGAAGCCTTTAATATTCAGAAATTGCTACCAGCAGTCCTACTGGAGGAATCATTACTGCTGCCAGCAATTTTCAGTTACTAAGATCAGGCCAGGAGGCCCTTCTGAAGGTGCCATCCCTGAAAGAGGTGAGGGGGATGGCATGTCGAAATAGGGCCTTCTCGGCTGTTGCCCCCCAACTTTGGAATGCCCTCCCTATAGAGATCCGCCTGGCTCCAAC